ATGTGATGTAGTTCCAATGCAAGCATGTCATATTTTGCTTGGGAAACCATGGCAATTTGACAAGGAAGTTATACATGATGGCCGCTATAATCTATATACTTTCACACATGCCAGATGGACCATAGTTCTAAAGACATTGAGTCCTCGAAAAGTTTATGAAGATAAAAAATACTTGTACAAGAGAGAAAATGAACCAAAAGAAAGACAACATGATGGTGAACTATGTCGCTGAATCAACTCGATGTGAGAAGTCGAATTGGTTGGATTCGTAAAAGCCTAAGTCTTTGTGTTGACCTATCCTATTGGTGCAACAACGATAGTTGGCGAATGTGTGTGGATTTCCGAGCCGTCAATGCTATAACAGTTAAGTATCATCATCTCATTCCTAAATTAGACGACATGCTTGATAATTTGTGTGGTTCTGTAATTTTTTCAAAAACTGACTTAAAACATGGTTATCACCAAATTCGGATGAATCGAGGTGATGAATGGAAAACTATCTTCAAGACTTCTTTTGGTGTATATGAGTGGTTAGTTATGCCATTTCAACTTACTAATGCTCCAATCACGTTCATGCGATTGATGAATCATGTTTTAAGGAATTTTATAAATACGTTTCTGGTAGTATACTTTGATGACATATTTGTTTAGAGTACTTCCATTGAAGCACATGTTGAACATTTACAAGTAGATGTTTTACAGGCTGAAAAGTTATATGCTAAGTTAAAAAAATGCAACTTTTGTGTTGACAATTGCAACTTTTTGGGTTTTATTGTAGGAAAAGATAGAGCATGTGTAGATCCTGCAAATGTTGCAGCCATCCAAGAGTGGGCTACACCTACAAGCATACGTGATGTCCGCAGTTTCCATGGTCTTGCAAGTTTCTACAGTCGATTTGTGGGAGCTTCAGCACTATTGCAGCAGCTTTAGCTGCAATTACCAAAAAAGAGGATAAGTTTTAGTGGAAAAGGAAACAACAAAATGCTTTTGATATTTTGAAATTGAAACTTACATGTGCACCCGTACTTACTTTACCTGATTTCTCTAAACCGTTTGAACTTAATTGTGATGCTTCTAGTGTATGTATTGGCGTCATCCTCTCTCAAGAAAAGAGATCTGTTGTATTTTTCAGTGAAAAACTACATGGTGCTGCCTTGAATTACTCAACCTACGATAAGGAATTGTAATGCTTAGTGCGGGCCTTGTGTAACACCCTGAAACACGGGTATATCATACGCCAACATTATAATATTAATATGTATTGACAAGCCATGCTATAATACTAAGGCTTCACAAAATTTCACCTATATATTTATTTTGCAGTAATAACATTTATTCCTAAAGGTAGGAATATTTCACCATCTCCCATAGTATTTCTCAAACACAAGAAAAGAGTGACTCAAGCATATTACAAAATAGTGCCAAAAACGAGTGTGTCGTAATACAAACGACCATTTCCCCAATGATATGCCATTCATCGACCGGAGGGTACAGCAAAGGAGTCTACAAGAGAAAAATGTAATATCATCAGCAACACTAGCTGAGTATCGAAATAAATACGTAAACAAAAAGTGCTACCAACCGTAACCCAAAAGTCAAGGTTGTACCCGTGACCATTCATCCCATCATAACACATAGCAATTTACCAATAAAACATAATCAATGCAATATTGATAGCCCACTCTCAGCTAAATGATAGTAAATATCACCTCGATAGCCCACTCCTAGCTAAATGATAATCAATGTCACATCGATAGCCCACTCCCGGTTAAATGATAATAAATGCCATATCGATAGCCCACTCTCGACCAAATGATAGTAAATATCAAATCGATAGTACACTCCCGGCTAAACGATAATCAATGCCACATCGATAGCCCACTTCCGGCTAAACAATCATCAATATCACATCGATAGCCCACTCCAGGCTAAATAATCATCAATATCATATCGATAGCCAATCTCGGCTCAACGATAATCAATCTCACATCGATAGCCCACTCCCGGCTAAATGATCATCAATGTCACATCGATAGCCTACTTCCGGCTAAATGATCATCAATATCACATCGATAGCCCACTCCCCGCTAAACAATCATCAATCGATAGCCCACTCTCGGCTAAACAATCATCAATATCACATCGATAGCCCACTCCCAGCTAAATGATCATCAATATCACATCGATATCACACTCTTAGCTAAAAAATCATAAATGTCATATTGATAGCCCACTCCCGGCTAAACAATTATCAATGTCACATCGATAGCCCACTCCCGGATAAACAATCATTAATATCACATTGATAGCCCACTTCCGGCTAAACGATAATCAATATCACCATAATCACACAAATCACAAAATACATGAGCATATCGTATCACGTATCTTAGTTCATCAAACATATAGTCACACCATAAGACACGCAATCAAAATTCACATCTAAGCACACAATCGAACATATAATCAATTACCTATTCATTTTAGGCACAGTCTGATGCCTCTTTGGTTTATGATAATTACGTCCATACCTTATTTGCGGATAGAAAACACCAAGCAAGTATCTGGACAATCCACTCAAATGATCAGAACAATCTAAAAGAACAATCAATCTCAAATAAAAAACAAGAACGTCATAATAGCGTGAGCTACTTGCTTATTCAAAAACAATTATCTCTAACTAGCTCATTGAGTTTCAAACTTTTTCGTTTGGGAGAATACATATTCCTACTATAAAACTCTTATACCTCGTAATATTTATATCGTCTGATTATTAAATAGAAATCCTTAAAGATATGAATAAACAGGAAGGTGTGACCTGTCGCGCAGTCAATCAAATAATTCACCTATTCCGTGATCACAATTTAATGTAATACAGGGAAGGGACCGTTTCCACAGGGATTTTGTGATTCACTCTTTCACGTTCTAGGGCTGTAAATAAAGGGGGAAATTTTATTTTATTATCTAATGAAGACAAAATAACAAAACAATTAAATTAACGGAGAACTAGCTATCAAGGGGATGTCTGGCTCAAGGGATGATGCAGTTGTGACACCAGTGTTTTATCATTAATTCAATAAAGTTAGTTCTTATTAAAGTATCAATAAATTTGTTATAAATATCAACAAGCTCTGACAACCAATTTTTCCTTATTGTGTAGGTAATTAAGGTACGACCGTTAACTACAGCTAATTAAGCTAATAAACCTAGGTACGCCCATAAAAAATATTGCCTAATCGCATTCTAATCTAGAAAAACCAAATTCAAAACAATTACAACCTAAGAGGATCAATTAGATTTGATTGTCTAACCCCCGGGAAGAAATTATTCAAACCGGTTGTCACCTATTCAAGTGCGAATACAATTACGGATATCCTACCAGAACTGACTTTAGATTATCAGATTAATTTAAATATCGGTACCAAAATATCCAATCAATCCGACAATCACAAACATTATTTTCAGAATTAGACAAATATTGATAATTAAAAAGAACTTTTATAAAGAAAGTCAGGAGACTCCAAAACATAAGGACCAAAACATTATCATCCCCTAAACCAGAAAAGTATTCACTCTATAATCAAATAACAAAGAACAAAAGAGAAAGATAAAGTCATAGTGGGAGGGGAAATCTTCTCTGTCGATTTTCTCCTATGCGATCTATGAGTCTGTTAGTCTCCTACTTCTGTGCGTATCTGCTCTGGCCGTTCTTCTCTCTCTTTCTGCGTGTGATCCTCTTATTTTATTTAATTTTGTCCTAATTATTTTGTAGCTGGCTTTTGGGCCTTTAATTAAATTCTCATGTCAAGAGGGTGTGGTTAGTCATGGTCATGACTAACTTGATTGTCCAATGCTGATTTTTTTTCTTTTATTTTTCTTCAAATTCACCAAATTTATCTTTTCTTTCCTGCATGTTGGAAATAAACAATACGCACCGAAATTCGGAAGAATCCAATCAAAATCAATCGAATATCGCATATAACTTGAACATTTAACACATGTGATTTCTAACTATCAAGGTGCAACACATTTTCATTTTCAATTCGACTTGGATCAATACTAAATTCTCAAAATATAACACTAAGGCTACAAATAGGCTATTAGCTAAAGAAATTTGTCGATTAAATAGCTAAATAGTCAATTGTGAATTTTCGAAGAATTACTAATTTAATACACAAATATCCAAATTCATATTAAAAATTATAATTAAACTCTAGTCACAGCAAGGAACACTCTATCGAAGTCAGAATTGAAATCGGATGGGTAAATCTTTGTCTTTTCCTTCTTTTCTTTCTTCTCCGTGCACATTTGCTTCTGCTTAAGGGTTTGGTTGCTTTGACTTTTCCTTCGTATGTATATACATGTCATATATATTTATTACATTTATATATTTTATTATTATTATGATACTGATCATCTTTATCTTCCTTATATTATTATTATTGTTGCTTTAATTATCTTATTATATATATTATATTTTATATTTATCTTTATCGATATATATCCTTTTAACAGTCTCTTCAATCATAATCAAAAAATAAAATAAGAATATATTTTATTCCCGAATATTAATTTCTCTACCTCATTAATGTTACCAAAATATTTATTTAATATAATAATATTATTTTTTATATATTTCAAAATCGGGATATTACACTCACTCCTCCTTAAAAGGTTTTGTCCCCGAAATCAATCAAAACCACGGCGTCTAAACTGGCCTCAACACCACACTCTATTAACCCAGACTATCAACTAACAAGCCACTACCAATCATGCCTCAAAGTCTTTGGATTCTCAAATCAACCTCAAATCCTCTTCAATCTATCAATTTTTAAACGAGCCCAAAATTACAGATACCATAAAACTCAGATAGCTATCATGTTGGTATCAAATCACCGAGTAAGTATTAACACATACAACAAAATCACGAGCTCGAATTACACACATAAACCAATTAAATCACACAAACGTACCGAAAAGCTCAGGGTACCGCTCACGGATCAACGACTCCTCTTCCCACGTGGTTTCCTCGACTCCATGTCGATGCATAACACTTTCATCAAATGCACATTTCTATTCCTTAAGGCTTTAACACTCTTGTCCAAGATCCGAATAGTTTTCTCGTCACAGCTCAAGTCATTCTCTAACTTTAGCTTATCAAGTTGAAGCACTTTTGTCTCATCAGCTACACATCACCACAACTGGGATACATGAAACACATCATGCACCTTACCCAACTCGCTAGGCAACTTCAATAGATATGCCAACTTCCCAATGCGCTCCACAATCGTGTAGGAACCAATGTAACAAGGGCTCAACTTCCTCCAAATATCAAATCTTTTGATACCCTTAATAGGGGATACACATAATAAAATGTGGTCTCCAACATTTAATTCTCCGGTCCTACGGCCCAAATTTGCATAACATTTTTGCCGACTCTGAACTGCACGAATCCTATCTTGGATTATACAGATATATTGAGTAGTTTGTTCTACTCATTCGGGTCCCAATAGTACTCTATCACTTGGATCTTCCCAACACAGTGGGGTCCTGCAGCGTCTCCCATATAGAACCTCAAAAGGTGCAGCCTTAATGCTTGAGTGATAACTTTTGTTATATGAAAATTCAATTAAGCTCAAACGACCAGCCCTTGAAGTCTGAAATTGCAGCACACAAGCCCTCAACATATTCTCAAGAGTCTGAATGGTCCTCTCCATCTAACCACCTGTGATCGGGTTAAATCCAGTACTGAAACTCAATTTTGTCCCAAATTCATACTGCATCTCTTTCCAAAAGTGGGACATAAACTTGGAATATCTATCTGAAATGATACTAGTTGGCACACCCGTTTCACCACATCACTACATACGCTTTGGCCAACTTCGTCATTGACCAATCCTTATGTATATGTAAGAACACTGCAGTCTTTGACAATCTATCCACAACCATCAAATTGAATCAAATTGGTTCTTACTCACCGGTAAGCCAGTCACAAAGTCCATCGCTATTGAGTCTCATTTCCAACTCGGGACCTCAAGTGGCTGTAACAGACCCATCGGTCTACTATGCTCAATCTTCACCCTTAAACATACAAGGCATTTAGAAATGTAATCAACCACGTCTCTTTTCAAACCAACCCACCAAAAATTCCTTTTTAAGTCTTTGTACATCTTATCACCCCTCGGATGAACCGAGTAAGGTGACAAATGGGTTTCATATATCAATCTCTCTTTCAAATATCTACTTGAGTCTAGTAGGCACCATCTTTCTTGAAAACGAAGGCTATCATCACTAGCCAACTCAAATCTACTTCTCTCATTGAGCTTCCCTTTGCATACCCGTCATATGATCTTAGAACATTCGCGATCCATCTTTTGCCTCTCGCGAATCTCATAATACAATTTAGGTGCAGCCGAAAGTGCATCCAACATCACTTGTGTTAAGGCAGGAGTGACTGCCTCTAATCTCAATCAATTCATCTCTCACATAACTTATTAGAAAATACGAGAGGACCAACATGATGACTTATTAGAGCATCAGCTACCACATTAGCCTTGCCCTCATGGTATAATATGTCAGCATCGTAATCCTTAACCAATTCCAACCAACGTCTCTGTCTCAGGTTGAAGTCCCTTTATGTGAACACCAATTTTCATCTTTTATGATCAGTGAAGATGCGACATTTACTCCCCAATACATAATGTCTCTAGATCTTCAAGACAAGCGCAACTGCTGCATTTCCAAATCATGAGTCGGATATCGCTCCTCATGTGATTTCAATTATCTTGAAGCATATGCAATAACCCGACCATTTTGCATAAAAACACAACCTAAACCATTAAGAGAGGCATCGGTATAAATATCATAATCTTGGCCATCTTTGGGCAATGCCAACATGGATGCAGAAGTCAATCTCGACTTTAATTCTGAGAATGCCGCTGCACATTTATCATTCCATTGAACTTCACTGTTTTCTTTGTCAAATTTGTCAAGGGTTGAGCCATCTTTGTAAAGTCCTTAATGAATATTCGATAATAACATGCTAAACCCAAAAATTTTCTCCCTTCCCCGTTGTTGCACGGTGCCTTCCAATTCGATATTCCTTCCACCTTCGAGGCATCCATGGTGACTCCTTCAACATCTATGACATGTCCAAGAAAGTGCACCCGCGACTACAAGAATTTGTATTTTGAAAATTTCGTGTACAACTTATTTTCTTGAAGCTTCTCCAATACCATTCCTAAGTGACGGCCATGTGCATTAGGATCCTTTGAATATATCAAGATATCATCGATAAATACGACCACAAACTTATCCTGCCACTGTCCAAAAATCTGTTGCATTAGATCCAGAAACATAGCTGGGGCATTCGTAAGTCCAAATGGCATCACGGTTAATTCGTAATTAGGATATCAATTTCCTTCACACGAATATGATGATACCTTGATCTCAAGTTCACCTTTGAGAAAACTCGTCCCCCTCTAATTGATCAAACAAGTCCTCGATCCTCAGAAGTGGATATTTGTTCTTTATTGCCATTTGGTTGATTGCTCGATAGTCAATACAAAGCCTCAGAGACCCATCCTTCTTTTGTACAAATAGCATAGGGGCTCCCCATGGGAGCTAATCGGTCACATGTATGATTTCTCTAATAGTTTATCCAATTGTTTCTTCAACTCTTTTATTTCAGTTGGAACCATATGATAAGGTAGCCTTGACACTGGTTGTGCTCCCGGTACCAAGTTTATTTCAAAATCACTCTCTTGTACTGGAGGAAATCCTGGAATTTCGTAGGGGAAAATCATCGAAAAAATCTCGAACTATAGGAATACTTTCCAAGTTTAGCTCCTTAGCTCGTGTGTAATAAATCAAACACAAAAAGACTGGATACCCTTTTCAAATCATCAAGGAGAGCGTTATAGAGCTAACCACCTTGGACTTTGACATCGCTTGTTGCTTGTAGCACGATGTCCTCACTCCATCCATCGTCCTAAGAGTTAGGTTGCCTAAGTGAAAATCCCATTGGGCTCGATATTTTTCCAACCAATCGATTCCCAAGATCAAGTCAAACTCACTAAACTCTAGCACAAGGAAATCAATGGTAAACACGATATCATTATCTACCACAGACACATAACGGATCATAGTATCACATATAAGATCCTGACCCAAAGGCAAAACTATACTCATAAAAGTATACTCAAACCCAGATATGCCACATAACCGAGCAAAATGTGCACCAATGGAGGAACAAGAAGCACCTAAATCAAACAATGTAAATTCGGAGTGATCGGATACAAGAAGTGTACCCATCATCACATCACTTCTCTTTTCTGCCTCAGGTGCAGAGCGAACAGTCAATCGAGCACCCGTTTGGAGTGGGGGACATCTATGTCATGTAGGTGCAATTTGTGGATACTGTGGTGCTCCTGGTGGGGGTCCTCCTACCAGCACTCTCCCATAGCTCCCCGGTATAGTGCACTGAAACTGCATGTGCCCGGGATGTCCATAACTGAGGTATTCTCTTAGATTCCCGTTAGGGGACGTTTGGTACAGATAATGAAATTGCAGAGAAATGAGAATAGAGAATACAATTGGAGAGAAAAACAATTGAATAGAGCACAAGAATCAATTCTCTTGTTTGGTCAAACAGAGAATTCAGTTGAGAAATATATATAAAAAAAAAAGGCAGCTATATGAATGGATCAAACAAGAATAAATGATTAACCGAATAAAAAAATTTTAACAAATGAGAATTCATGAAAAATATTTTTTGTGACTTTTTATAAAAAAAATTATAAATTATATAATATGATGTTTTTTAAGATTATATTTAATATAATTTCTTAAAAGATCGTAAAAATTAAATACTTTAACAATAAATCAAATTTAATTTTTGTAAAATTGAAATAATATAATTTTAAAAAATTATAAAAATTAGATAATACAAAAAAGATAAAAAAATTTAAAAAATATACTGCAACATCATATCTTTTTATTTTCCTGCATTTGAGAGAGAAATAAAAATAGAGAAATGAAAATGATTTATTTCTTAAGTTTCATTTCTCTCACTCAAACAAACAAGAGAAATGAGGTCATTTCCATTTCTCTGACCTCATTTCTCTATACCAAACACAACCTTACAGTAATATCCAGGATGATTAATAAAACACCTTGGACACAGAGCAGATGCCCAACCTTCTTCACCTCTTTTCTTCCCCTATTTCTCAAACCACTCCTTAGACTTGCCCCCCTATGAAATTGGGGTTGTGGCCTCTTCCCTCCTGGCCCTAAACTTAATCTGGGTTCATGCCTCTTAAAAGCTCTCACCCGCTCACCATCCCAAAGTGCTCTCTCCATGTATGTTGATCGATTATATGCTTCAATGAGTGTGGGAGTCCTTCCACTCGCAAAGGCAACACGAATCTCTCCATTGCACACGTCCTCGAACTTTACAACTCATGCAGCCGAATCTTTGAAAATACTTAAATCAAATTTCATCAACTCACAAATTTGTGTAGTACTCAATAATCGTCCTGCTCCCTTGAATCATCCGGTGGAACTCAAACTTCTTGTCAGACCTCAAATAGCTAGGATAGACGTCCTAGTCCTTTCGGCTTTTAGTGCCTCCCAAGTTTAGGCCTCAAGTGCCTCACTTTCAAGATGAGTGTTACGCCACCACTCATCCGCCCCACCAGTCAAAAAGTAGACTGCAACACCACTCATCCGCCCCACTAGTCAAGTTTAGGCCTCAAGTCCCAAATATTGATTTCATATCGCATGCACTGCAAAACTTTTTCAAAAATGGGTGTGGTGTTTTATTTCAAAAAAACTATGCTCTGCTACCACTAAACATATCAACCCGGAATGCGGGTATGTCACATGCCAACATTATAGCAATAACGTGTAGCGACACGCCATGCTATAATACTAAGGCTTCACAAAATTTCACATATATATTTTTTTATGCAGTAATAACATTTATTCCTAAAGGTAGGAATATGTCACCATCACCCATAGTATTTCTCAAACACAAGAAAAGAGTGACTCAAGCATATTACAAAATAGTGCCACAATGAGTGTGTCGTAATACAGACGATCATTTCCCCAATGATATGTCATTCATCGACCAAAGGGTTAGGCTAAGGAGTCTACAAGAGAAAAATTTAATATCATCAGCAACACTATATGAGTATGGAAATAAATACGTAAACAGAAAGTGCAACCAACCGTAACCCAAAAGTCAAGGCAGTAGCCGCGACCATTCATCCCATCATAACACATAGCAATTTACCAGTATAACATAATCAATGTCATATAGATAGCCCACTCCCGGCTAAACAATAGTAAATATCCCATTGATAGTCCACTCCCGGATAAACGATAATCAATGTGACATCGATAGCCCAGTCCCGGCTAAATGATAATAAATACCATATCGATAGCCCATTCCCGGCTAAACGATAATAAATATCACATCGATAGCCCACTCCCAGCTAAATGATAATCAATGCCACATTGATAGCCCACTCTCGGCTAAACGATCATCAATATCATATCGATAGCCCACTCCCGGCTCCACAATAATCAATCTCACATCGATAGCCCACTCCCAGCTAAACAATCATCAATGTCACATTAATAGCCCACTCACGACTAAACAATGATCAATGTCACATCGATAGCCAGCTCCCAGCTAAACAATCATCAATATCACATCAATAGCCCACTTCCTGCTAAACGATAATCAATATCACCATAATCACACAAATGAAAAGACACATGAGCACATCGTATCATGTATCTCGCTTCATCAAACATATAGCCACACGATAAGACACACATTGAAAATTCACATTTAAGCACACAATTGAACATATAATCAATTACATATTCATTTTAGGCACAGTCTGATGGCTATTTGGTTTACAATATTTACGTCCATACCTTGTTTACAGATAGAAAATACCAAGCAGCTATCCGGACAATCCACTCTAACGAT